CAGTTTAACGATAATCTTTCGTGGTGAAGTTGCCTTATTAGTATTTATTAGTATTAGTATTGCGTTATTAGTATTTTTGCCTGATAATATTGACGGAAACGTAAACGGGCTGGTGGTTGATTATCAAACAAGCCGCCCGAGAAATACATTAGCTTGATCGTGTACCAGCCGTTTTACCGGTGGCAAAACGGTTTGGCATTACGCTTTGTCCTTTTCGCCGTGTCATAACGGACAATTCGCGATGTGATAAGGGCGTTATTAGTGGCGATTTCAGGCCCAAAGGAGCTGCACCAAGCTTCCGGCTAGCCAAAATTATGCGTTTTACGACTACGGCAGCACATAGTTCCATGCTATTACTTTGTTGCGCAGTAACTGTAGCGCTGCAGGAAGTGGCACCACATAGTCTGATGTATGGAAAACGAGGCACACTTTGCTTGAAGTCTTACGTAACGTATGCGATGCCCGGCAAGGGCAAGCAGCTGCCGGATCGAAAAGTGCCTCGCGGCTACAATAATTTTTATGCGTTCCGAACGTACTGAGAGTACAGTCTTGAGTCTGTTGCTTTATGCCTTGAAAAATGATTGTGTTTGCTTGCAGTTTGAATAAAAAAGCGGGAACCAACGAGCACCGCTATGACGAATTGTTGCGCATCCGAGGATGCACGGAAAAAGATTACCAGCTGTGGGATGCAAAAGCGAAAAAGAAAGTACCTTTTCAACCCTACACAGAGACGCAGATTAAGGCGGCTGCGTACATGTGCGGCGTGATGGATCAGCAGCCAGTAGGGCCAACAGGTCCGGCTGTGTGGATCAGAGAGGTATGCTTGCAACGCTCCTTAAACCTTCGACATACAAGTCAAATCAACACATATTCTTCGTTAGCTATTTCGACGCGGCAATTTACCCTGAGGTAGCAGGCTGTTCGAGCACGGTTCCCGCATTACAGATCTGCGTAGAAAGAAGTCAAATAGCTTTTTTCTTTCTTTTTACATGAAGTGAACCAGATCGTAAAGATACATTGTGCGCTGGATTTTGTAACCATTATACTGTGGTTACAGAGTTTCTTTAAAAAAATCGTGAGCTATAAATTGGTATTTTGTAATACAAGTGATTACAATCATTATATTTGCAAGTACCTTTAGCCTTTTACTTTAATGAGGTTAAAAACAATTTCAAAACAGTAAAAATATTAGCTAGTAATAGCTACTGTATGGACCGGTTTGTGATACGAACATTTCTACGAGTTACGAGGAGAACATACAAATATGTTTACAATACGACGCACGTTGGGAACTCGGTTGGCGGCGTACACAAAACGGAAATCTTGTATAATATACAATACTCTTGTATAGTAAAAAAAGGCACATATACGTTATCTGCACGAGAACCATACCACTACATTTACCTTTTTTTCTCACTATTTGAAGTCCACTGTAAATTGAAACTTGTGTACTAGCACTGATGACAACATGTCTTTCAGTCCGTGTATCGCGATTTCTGTGGATACTGATCAGCCTAGTCTAGTTTGTACATGTTGTAGGTATGAATTTTATAAGAACTGCCTGCGCTGGTGTGTTGCAAATTTCGGTTTGCCTCTGTGATCTGTTGTCCAAGTATAACTAATTTTGATGGTGGCAACGTCTTTGATACAGCCAGCAATGAGCTTGCAATTGGACTGCTTATTTTAATTTGTAGAATGCTCCGGAAGCTCCAAGACCGAAGGAGGAAGTGCGCTCTCTTGGGGTCGAAGGAACGTTATCGCCACGTGCCTCGCGCGGACCTGCAAACGCCAATGCATTCGGGAGAATTGGCTATCGTCGAACGGAATATAAGTAATTCTGTGGCAGTTTGATTTTCTGTGCACCTTTTGGTATAAGCAATGAAATAATACTCAGATGTGGGGTGTACCGCGTAATCATAACTTAGCTTCGGGTAGTGACTAGTGATTGAGCCATTCGATTCTCGATAAGCGTATACAAAGGTTCTTTTTATGTTCAAGAGCGGTTAGAACAAATTACTGGTCGCAATATACAACGAATAACTTATTAGAACTGCAGATACAGTAGGTGTTCTGGTATTGCTTATGTAAGGCTGATCAAGAGTATGCTTCCGGTTCGACGAGACTTGAAGTCCCCTCGGGGTTGTCTGCTCTTGTGCCGTAATAGAAATAATAATAGTGATACGAATACTAGTTATATCAATCGAGACCAGGGGCTAATATCACCGAGCTTATTCAATCCACTCAGTTAAATGTGAAGCACGGATATTAATTTACAGTGGCTTAATGAATTAAAATTGCACGTACAGTATGTTTCTCATGATTGAAATACGTAGTTAAGCAAGTATAAAGCCACGGCGGACAGTCTATCGACACGCCCTTATCACTGGTGTTTATAATTGCTTTCCTGCGGATATCCTGGATGCCAGTCAAACGTACCGTGGGAACCTTTCTGACATTGCCGATTGAAAGTGCATGCTGCCATGTACTTGAGAATCGGTTCCATGTATCAACTGCAGATACTTATATTATCAACGGAAAAACTTCGTTTACTTGATGACAGCGGACATCGAACATTTCCTGGCAATGGCTTTAACTATGGGATCAGTCCTTATCAGTATGGCCGAAAATCGATCTAACCATGGCAAGCGGCGCATGTCATCCATCGAAGGCGTAATCGTAATTCGTCGAAGGCGTAATCGTAAATCGTAATTCGTCGCTTTTGCCTAATGCATACACAAATTTCCATGCAAGTTATTGGGCAGCTTTATCATATTCTCGATGGGATCTTGCCAGTTTCAAGCGTACTCTTCTCCGGGAACATCACGGGCCTCCGGTCATACCGAAGACATTTCGCCATGTGACAATTCCTACCGATGTTTGCTTACGTTATGCAGATATGGTTGACAACTTGACACAGTAAAGGGAATGGCATATAAGTGCTACAATTACCTGGATTGTATATGAATAAGGCTTAAGGCGTTATGTTTCTCGGTTTCGAATATTCGTGAGTATCGCTTTATTTTGAAAGACTACTTTACCGGAAATTTCTGGATTCGGTGATTGTCAGCAGTTTTGTGGGAATTTATAAAAGGTTTATGAAAGCATGTATCCAAGAGGCAAGTGAAGCTAATCGCGGGGCTCTAGGTGATGTGCTTAGCGGTGAGCCCATCATGATAATCAGGCAGAGCACTCACGCCTGCCAGTGTCCATGCCAATGGTATGGCATTTGACTTTGGCATTTGACACGCAATAACTGCGGTAGATGCCACAAAAACAATCTGACACTGTGCCCGAGCAGGTTGCAGGGACAGTTTTTGGGTGTCCGGACTTCCGAACCAGGAAGCACAGTAGGTATTAGGTATATGAACATATTCAAATCCCCAATGCTGTCTAGTGGTCTTTTGGTAATTTTTTGTTGACAGCCCAAAATGATTTTACGCGAGAGAAATCAACAATCGCTTTCTAACCGTTTTTTGTAGGAACGTTTGTTGCGGTAATTAAACACTGTTGGATAAGACAGCACCAATAATACGAGTACGGATGGCAGTGGGCCGAGCGCGTTTCGAAGGAAAGTTGAGAACTTGCAGTCGAGTATGGGTAGAATTATGTCACTAGCCTAAATTTCGCCGGCATTTCTTAAAACATGAGCCCATAAGCGTTATCAATGTTTGCAACCTGCTTCTGCACAGTGCCACAGTTTAAGTCTACATACTTTCTGCCTAGTCGTCAACCGAATAATATTTGGCAATGACTGGCAATGACCATCTGGCAAAATAATGCTTGGCATGACTAGCTATATCGAGTGCATTTTACTTGCTTAGGTAAATAGTGTGGCGTGACGCGCCGTGGGATGGATTTGGAATAGCCCGTGAATCTGTAAGATCCGCTGCATTTGTGTGCTCAGTTTCTTGCCCGGCTTGGGCAGGAATACGACAGCAATTGCTCCTTATTCCTTACCGACGAAATATGCTGATCATGACCTTCATAACTTTACACCATAGTACCACGGAAACAGAAAGGTCATCATGACGCCTTTCATCTTGCTGGACTTGCTCTCTACATATGTTGATTCTATGGACATACAGTTGATATCGTCATTGCTGCTTTTGCGCTGACTTTAATCCGAGTGAAAATTGCATTAAGTGCCTAATACTACAGCTATTAAAGTTTCCTTCGTGCCTCTTATCAATAGAAGTATAAAAAAAAGCTGCTGCTTCGATACTAAACTGTCAATGTGCGCCACGGGCAATTTATGCTACCGCGCATGTGCGGTTGCATTGAATTCACAAATTTATTTTTGTCGCAGCCTATTTTTGTCCAAATGTGGGTGCTTTAATTGCACTTAGAACTGCACGAAGAACAAGTAAAGGCATACTTTTTCGTTGCAACCGCACGCGCGCGGTTGTCACTGCCGTAAGTCTGGTCTGTGTACGGTAGTGGCTCGCGTGACGTGGCTTAAGCGTTTCGTCACTGGTTTTTTTCTAACGTAAATAATTACAAACGGTTCAACCGTTTTTAAAATTTTCAGATAGTCTGTAAAGAGTAGGTTGTGTTTAACATGCTAAAATAAAAAAACCGAAAGAAAATCGGTACTGGAGCAAAATAATCTAAGCCTGGCCACTTGATATGTCGCTCTTTGACTTAACATTGGTGGCCACTTGAAGGTCTCTACGAGAGTAAGGATTTTCCTGCTGATTCCACCCGGGACTGCACTCACACCTCATGTGTCACAGTAACGTTCTTCATGATATATTGGAGTAACTTCGCGGAATCGACTACACCCACTTTCATTACGCCAGCCAGCGGTAAAAAAGTTCTGTCCACAAATGCAGACAAAAAGGATTGATATGCTTGTCCAGTTGATATGCGCATTCATTCGCCATGATTGATAAGCTTATTCATTCGCCAATAAAAATCTGGAAGCCAGTATAAGTTTTTCTCCATTTAGTTCCATGATTTATTGACTTTTTATATCCATGATTTTTCCACAAGCTCGGTTGGCGAATACGAAGTATAATGTGAAAACAGGGCGATGGCGTACTTTTCCGAGTGACAAAGGTTGAATCAGACTTTTGGATGGTATAAGCTGCATTTTCAGTAAGCTGGTTGTGAGTAAAATAAAGGTAAAATAGCAATCAGCAGTCTTCGGTTTGAAGGAGTTAAAGTTAAATGTCGTCATGCGACGAGGCTATGACCTTTACGGCAGTAATCAAAACAGAAAATTTTCATCGGAAATAGTTTAGTGGTTTCTAGCCAGATGGGTCTTTACGGCCATTTCTTTACGGCCTTCGAGTTTTGAACAAGTATACTTTCATTAAAATAAATCACGTACGTAGCTGCGAATTAAAAGCAGCTGAGCGTTTTGTCGGCATCGGTACAATTGTCCTGCAGGACCTGCAGTAGCGCATTTTAGCCTTTTACTCTGGACTTGGCAGTGCTTCGGCTCCGGCTGCGTAAGCAACACAACAAAATCCGCCGCTAATGCACGGCAGTAGCAAGGCCAGCGTCTGCATAATACAACTCTTCGGGAAAAACTTACGAGATATATCGGCTTTAACGTCATCCAGACACTTGGGTGGGCTTTCCTTCCACCTGCAAATTAAAGAAAAAATCGACTTAACCAGGCAATTGCTGCAATGTTTGCTGCTTCATGCTTACATTTCGTAAGAGAGTGCAATAAACGGCCAAATGCAGCGCCTTGGTTCGCAAGCCTCGCTTGTCAGGGAATTCAGCCAACGGGCAAGGTTCTCAATCATACGTTTTTTGAGTGCTGGACAATGATCTTCTAATGCAGATCGGAAGGACGCTTCAAAAGTTGCTGTCGCTGTCTCCGTAAAACAGTATCGCCAGCGCGGAATGACTATGGAAAATGGATCAGAACAACATCGCAAACTCCGTCGCCCAGGACCTATGACCCACTCTGACCACTCCTTCTCGCGCGACAGAATCTCCTTGAAGCAAAACGACAGTCTACTGTCGAAGCAGCAATTCTTCAGAGCAATATGTCGGCAAATGAGAGCACATATCGTGTCTGCCTTTTCTGGATGGGAGTAATTTCCGTAAAAATTAGTGAAATCGTCTGTACACAGCATGGGAGACCATTTGGGAAATGGCAAAAATTCGTTTAGCAAAAGCGTGGAGTTGTTGGCGATGACCAACCAGTCGAGTTTTACGTCCATGATCATCAACACATGGGCTAGGGTAAACAGACATTCATCCCAATTTCCGAAGAAATACAAAATTTTGGCATCTTGGCTGATAGTATTCCCGATAATATAAGCCAGGTTCCGAACAGTATTTTTGCAAAGGTCTATCTTCAGACTTTCGATAACATGCTTATTTTGATTTGGCAGTATTACGCATTGTCGAAGTGTTTTGCGCGACAATCGCCGATGGAAAGATTTGCACGTTCTGGAAAAGTAGAACCTTATATTATATTACAGTAGCAAAAGGAAGTATGGTTAGCAAAAGGAAGTATGGTCGTATCTTATTTGGCCAAACAGCACAATCTCGAAACACAAATTTTAGTGCAGCGATAATGCAAGAGCCACTTCTATGAACATTAAAAGCCAAGGAAGCGGTAAAATTTTATTGTTTTGTTCCTTCCTAACCTTCCCGTCACAGTTAAAGTCGTTAGTGTTAGGAACTGCTACAACCATAGGCTAAAATAGTGTGTAGTGATACACATTTCGTGTAGTGATAAAAGTGTAGTGTGTAGTTTTAGTTGCCCAAGTGTGCAAGATTAAAAAAGTTCAAAACCGTTAAAAAATTAGAGGGAGGTGTCTTGAAAATAAAAAAATGTTTTTTGCACTATTTTTTTATAGAATTTCTAGCAAATCTCACAAAAAAACGTGCGTCGGCTTCGCGCTTCGCGCTTCGCGCGAAACCTACCTCATCTGTCACTTCTACTTCGATCTTATCATTGTAATTCGTCCTTAAACTTTCGTTAGCTTCAAATAATTTGGTCACCAGCATACTAATTCACTATTTTTAATCAAAACTCCTGCAATTTCCGCAGAAATAATGGTCTCAGGTTTCGCGCTTCGCGCCGGAAATGGGCATTCACTTCCACTTTCGACACTTAATTCGTATTATGCCGATTCATGCGTCGCCAGCTCTTGCCCTTCTTTAGAAAAAGAATACAAAAATTTAATTTCTTTTGGCAAAATTTGTTTCAGTCACTCCCTCCGGGGGCACCCCCAGGGGCAGTGTGTAGTGATAGAATTTAGATATTTTAGCCTCTGGAGCCTACAACACTTACATATATGCGGTGTGCATGGTAAACGAATTTTGTTTCTTTTTATTAAAGTTATTTATATAAACAAAATGTGAACCAAGAAACATAGCTTACACACCTGAAAAGCTAGAGATATAAGAAACCAAAGAAAACCTAAGCAAGCAAAAGAAACCTAAGAAATCTGACAAATTAAGCCAATCAGATCAAATTTAAACCAAAAAAATCGAAAAGAATTCTCCAAACCTAAAACAAACAGGACGGACTGAACATTAAAACAAAACAAACTGCATAACAGCGGCACCGCAGTCACTGCCAACCTTTGTACGACAACCAGCTGCATCAGCGCAGCAAAGGTTACCAGTACCACTATATACTAGCGCCACTGCCTCTTCTACGACCAGAGCTATTAATCGTAACTAGAATAATCTTTTCTAAGTCCTCCGAAACATTTTTAGTTTCTTTGCATTTCAGTTTTCTCAGTTTATTATGATTTTTTTGGTTATTCTTAGATGCCTGAGGTCTAAGGCTTCTTACGTTTCTATCAGAATGTTTGTATTAGCAAAGCGCATGCAAGTTTTGTATTCTTCAAGCGATCCTACCGAAGATTAGCCACCTCCAGTTTTTGAGAAATGTGATGTTTCTGCAGGAACAAAAGTGCGTTGTACGGTTTCTGGCAGCTTCCACCTTTTATTGCTTGCCAGACGGGTAAAGGTAGGTGCCACTACCAACTTTTACACCGTGCCAAATGGGCACTCGATCGCTCGGCATCGCTACTAAGCACTAATAAACGCTTGGACTGCATTATTTGTTTTACCGTTTTAATGCGCTGTATAATACGTGGCTATTTGAAAGTCTTTTTCATTCAAGTGTAATACTGGTACTTCCAACTCAGTTCAAAATCACGGAATACGCAGCAATATCTGCATCACGTGATGATCCATTTGTTGAGATATTCAGTCACACTCTGGCACACTGAAAACGTCCAGCAACAATGTCTCGCCTATTTCATATATGCTGCTTATAGTCGCAGCCATGCCTTAATGCAATACCCATTCGGGAGTCGGCCCCGGAAGCCGGCCGACAAAAGATGGCGTAATTATGTAATTTTATGTCATTAAGTAATTTCTCATGGTTGTATATACGTACATGGTAATCTTACGGTTCTCACCTGCGGAGTTGATGTTGATCATAAATATCCAGAAAAGAAAATACTTCCATACTCAGCTCCACAAGTAGATGTTCAAAAACGAATTCTCGAGAGTCGCTCAAATCTGTAACATTAAAACACAGCCCATAGCCTGGACTTACGATCATCATACAGTACTCTGCACAAAATTACAAACTCCGGTCAGTACGTGGTGCCTTCAGACGTATGCGCATTTCAGCGAAACATCATTAATTTTGTGTCCTCAGTAGCATTATGCCAGATGTACAGAGTACACACATACAATACATGCGTATAAAGAATAGACTACAAAATTCCTCGCTATCAAATAAAAATGTTGCGATAATAAGTGGCGGCATCCCCTTATTGTTCAGCTGTTAGGCACAGGCTTCGGTCTTTTGCAGGTCGATCACGTAATTGTGCTTCATTTAACTTCCAGGTTCAGTTTTACTTTATTGCCAACTTTACCTAGATCAGCAGCGACCTGTGTGACAAGTTCGTTCAGAACGGTGCCAGCAATTTTTTCTGTTGCCAGGTTCAACTTTTGCATAAACCCATCCACAGAGAACGCTATGCGTTCCATAACTTTCATTTTGGTTTTCGGATCCATGACGATCTGATTGTAATCGCTCGCGACCAATAGTGCAATGTGATCATCGGTCGCGCTGAGGAACATAAGCAGACCATAACCAGCTTCCTGCATTAAGCGACTGTGAAATCGTGAAATTTCTCGTACTTTCTGCAGATTACCAGCAAAGTTGTCACAATACGAGGTGAATTCTGAAACCGGAATCTCCTGATAGGAAAACGAGTGTGCCGTAACGGGGTTCCCAAGAACACCCCGGCTGCGAATCCGTTTGAAAACGGCATTAGATGAATCAAGGACATAATAACGTTTGATCCCTTTCATCGGCAGGGTGACCTCCACATCTACTAACGCGAACGAATCAAAAGACATGCCGCTAATGATACGAGCGGGCTGCCACGATTCCGGCTGATTGTCTTCCACACTGACAAGGACGTCAATCTCATCCGACACATCGTCAGGGTGGACACGAATGGTTTCCATCCACTCCACTAGTCGCAGTTTCTCCATCGGGACGCGGCGTACTTGCTGCATGGAACCAATTCGCACCATACAATGATCACTGTCGACTGCGCAGACATACCCACGATAGGTGGCATCCTCATCCAGAACATCGACAACAAAGCAATTATAGACGCCGGTGATAAGAGGATCTCTGATTATCCGCGTCGACAAAAAATTTTCCATCATGCCGTCCGTGTAGAAGACAAACCTTGATCATGCGTCTACAACTCCCCAGCGAATGATGCACGCGACTCGGTGAATTTTGGTAGCCACCTGATAACAGCATGGGAGAATTGTCAGATGCACACTGTGCCTGTACGATCACTTGGTTATATACTCCCGAAGTTACCACAAAAATTTTCCAGGCTAGATGACCATAGTTAGTTGAAGCACAAGATTATTTGTGCTTCCTAACTGCGCTGTAGAAGATTGTATGAAACCGTTTGCCAAATTTTATGATGCTACCGGATGCGTTAAAGCTTCGTTCATACAGGAAGTTGGTTAATATTAAAATGGCAGAGTCTCAAGATCGATACTAGTACGTACCCGTACGAACCACTGCATCATGCATCGCATCATGAATCATTTGGTCAGTTGTTGCTGCCTTGCTGCCGTTCCAGATCAATAACTCAATAGCAGTGCCCGTACCGGTATTGATTAAAACTTCACCCTTACTGCCTACGATATATTCTGTAATGATACAATCCCAAGTTTAATGGGCTACAGTGAAACGGAAACGCACAGCTGGAGCTGTTAATGCCAAGCAGCGCGTTGCTGCTTGAGCAAGAGTATCAGCAGACTATACTCCAGTGCACTGGTTGTTGTAAGCGGGCGACAGAGCAAAGCCACAAGAGGTGTCTACCGCCTCGAGTGTGCGGTCTCTGACAACTTACTTAATTAGGGCTACTTGTAGCTGTATCTGGAGCTTTGACGTCAAAATTAATTTTGGTATCTTTGTACTACAGTATTTTGATTTGCTTTCATGCACGAACGAATTGTTTACCTGCGATCATGCATAGTAAAAGGGTTTTCTTCGGAAGCCGTAAAGTTATTATCCGTTCCCGCTGACGTCTCTGAAGTGGTCGGCATTGCGGTGACTTGCCAGAAAGCTAAGCACACTGTCCAAAATATAAACAAAAATTTTGTTTTCCCACAATGCATTGTAAGCCCTCCGCTCAGTGATTATTGCTGAAAGTTGCACACAGTTCTTCTTTACGTGATTTGTGATAAATGCACATGCACAGATACTTAAAAAGAATGTTTTCGGCTGGCCCACATAAGCATTGCTATGCGATACAATCTTGATCATTACCGACGATCGTGAATAATACAGTAGTACTGATACAGTATAATATTGCAATAATGATGTAACGGTCTTTCACCGGAAGACATCCACTGTTACCTTGCTACTGTAGCACACATTAGTGCATACCAATGTTACTACGGCTGCTGCTTATATGTACTAGTAATTTAAGTGGATTACACAAATCCAGGGCAGATACTCGTATTATATCACAGTTCCGCTGTTAAAAAAACGAGAGATATGTATTTCCATTTCTTTAAAAAAAGGCAAACATCTCTGTTTGTTAATAATTACCACTAAAAACCAGAGAATGGTATTTAACATTCTTTGGTTTTGGTTAAACTAAGAACGCAATTCCTAGCTTCTCCACATATTTTTCAGACAATCAATGACAAAATATACTAACCTTAGTCCATTGGCAGAGTAAGGCGAGCATGGGAAAGTTTTCATATTTCAATTTGTTACAAATAAGGATTATTACTAGGAAAGTATTCAGTACGCTTATGAATTATAGCACTGCCGTTACAAAGCAATTCGCTTTCATATTTTATTATTTATCGTGACATCGCGCGATCTGGAGCTGAGTATTGAAATTATCTGCAGAATCGTTGCGGAATTGAAATCTCGGGCAGTTGTCATTGTCGAGTTCAGAGTTGCACGAACAAAAGTCGTTAGAAGCAAAATGAAAATATCCACGAAACCACTCCCACTGTGAAAGGCGGTTGGGGAAGCCCTTGTGCAAAAGAGCATACGCGTCTCTTGCGGCATAGGAACCGATCGGACAGTAACTCTGGTAGTGCGTACATATATGGAAGCGCCCCACGCACAACATCTCCGCTGGGTCACCGAGACGCACGCTCACGTTGTTCATCGGCGGAGTGAAGACTTGATTGCGGAAGATTGAACGAAGTCAGAGTTACAAAACTTAGAACGGACGACGTAGCGAATTCCATAAAGTATGGTTAAAACTTAAATCTTAACACTAACCTAGTACATACTTCGATATTTCTCACATCTGAAGCCGACAGCTAAAAACTATACCAACCGCCAAGTAACACGATCCTTCACGTTTTATCTCGTTTGCATACTGCATGCTGCGATCATGATAAATCATAAAATTATTATTTTTTAATTTTACGGTTCCTTATACGGTATTAAATTTTAGCAAAGTGTGACCCCCGCTCCGCAATACGTCATTCTTCACCGATGGCACCTCCGATCAGAAGCTGCGCTTCGTCGTCGGCTAGCATCGGCCAGTGTGTGTGTGACTTGTGTCGAGCGAACATCAATAAGATTAAAGTGAGTAACATTAGTACCAGTACTCGTAACATTAACATTGCGATCCTGTTGGTGTTTGTGCTGTGAGTGGCCTTCGTTTAGGGAAAGCAGTAGTGTGTACCTATATATATATAGCTAGGTGGAAGTTACTGTGTTGGTATTCCTGTGGTGTAGTGTGGTGTGGTAAGATCGTGTAGTGCACTGTTGTCTACGGAAGTAGGCAACAAGGCAACACCAATCTCCAGAGTTTCTTCTCTGCTTATTGCGGTCAGGTTGGTAGTAGTGCACCCGGTGTGTGTATTATGTCACACTGTTTGAATTCGTTCTAAATAAGCGTGCTGTTTCACGCTTTGTCAAGGTGTTCATAGCAATCGCTGCCGAAAGACGTAATGCGCGTGCCACATACCCTCGTATCTCCTCCCCCCTTCCCTTACAATACACCCTCCCATAATACGGTACCGTATTATGGGAGGAAGGCCTGCCGGAAGTGACGTCACTTCGGCAGGCCTTGCAATAAGATCGGGACACCGATGGATACAGTATTATGGTATCTAAAAACATAATTATGTCATAGCTGTTTCAAACATTCTGCTGTTTTAAACACCCCATCACCAACGTTTTAAAACTGCCGGCCCACATTTCGAAATAAGCAAAGTGACCCTAGCAAGACTTTATTAACCATCGCATAAAAATACAAAAACAAAATAAATACAAAAACAACAATCATCCGCTATTGCCATTAACTTGGCTACTATCGTGGTGTTGCTTTCGAGTAAGTAAAATGCAATTTGCACGACTTATAGGAATATTAGGAAGAAAATCGCCTGTAGCAGTATTTTTTCCTTCTGCGGAGCAACACACGTGCCATAGAGAGTTGTAATTTTCCCAGAAGCTTAGGTGAGTGAGACGCATCCCGGCATATCGTGCGCACGGTCAATTAATTCAAAATATGCGTCCGTGTTCCGATCGCAAAGCAGCAGCCGGGCGCCCCCAATGCATGACCGGAAGTAAATTTTGAGTAGTTTATGAATAAAAATTACATGAAGAATGCGTTGTATCTCTTCAATTCAAGTCTTTCATGCATGCACGGATATGGGCTAATTTGTTGCTAACGAATATACTCGTACTGTACGTATTATAAATTTCATAAAGAATAAAATTAAATTTGGTGTTTGTTTGCAAGTGCAGCGATAATGTGTGCAGTTCACACACTTCACATCATTATGGTCAGCGCCTACCTTAATTTCGCCAGCCATAAGGCCCCTAACCGCTACTGAAACGCAGATCACGCTTGTGGTTTATACCGTATAAACTAGTAAGCTGACAAGGATCGACTTCCGGTGGAAAATCCCAAATGTGTTAATATATATGCCACAACATATAAGTGCTTAATCATACGTTAGTTTACATTACTCTATATCACTCAAGCTTAATTACCGCGAGTTTATTAAGCAGTAAAGGCATTCGGCTTAAACATTTTCTAACTGTTCAGTTATAGGTCAGGCTAATTAGCAACGGTGTGCAATCTTTAGAACCGGACAGTGTCATTAATTATTTTTAATAATGCAGTTCGGAAAAGCGGTAGTTCTTTTTATAGGTGGCCTAACTGTATTATGGCACGTTACAGCATTGCCGGCTAATTCAGACTTGTCACCAGGAGCTGATGCCAACTTCTCTGTCCCAGCCGAACGTTTCACCGTTTCAGCGGGTCACAGGTAAAAAAAACCTTGGTATGGGGGTTAAGTGCACCTAAAATTTCGGCATTCTGAAGCTGCTACTATAAAGTCTATAATTAACCTTTGTAATAAATTTCGAAAGCCTTGAAAGGTGGAACACATTTACTCACTGGAATATACGCGTAATATGCAATGATTTTATCCAACGATTCTCTTGAGCATGTAAAAGCTTGCCGTTTTTGTGCTAATTAAGCAGCATTAATTTCGTAGCATTTAATTGGGTATATATATATATATATATATATATATATATATATATATATATATATATATATATATATATATATATATTATATATATATATATATAATATATATGTATATTATATATGTATATATATGTATGTATATATATATATATATATATGTATGTATATATATATATATATATATATATATATATATATATATATATATGCATTATATATATTATATATATGTTTATGTGTATGTATATGCCATATATATATATATATATATATATATATATATATATATATATATATATATATATATATTATACGTCTGTGCATGTTTGCGCATGCCTGAACATTATTTGCACTACGTACTTTGTTTTTCGGCAAAGGTGTGCAATATATATATATACTATATATATATATGTCGCGCAGGCAGAATCCTGGAAACATGCACAAATCTGGTTCAAAAAGGCACATTTAACACTTAGATTGATTCCCGTCATTTGTTCTTCATTTTGCAACCAACGTTGCGCAGAAAAAGCCACTTTTTCGCCCAAAAATCGAAAATCAAAAGGATGGAAGATTTCGAAAACTTTCAAAATGTTAGCCAAATCACGGTGCCACTCCGGGCGGTGCCACCTGCGTCACGCGCCGGAAGTCCATAAAATTCGTTTTTCTGACGTTTGATCTGGATACTTAATGCAACACGCATGACTGGTACTGTACGTACTGTAAGACGGCGGCGTAAGTACAATACATACATATTACGTTCAATTAAAAGCAGATACACAGTACTGCACATAAACCATTTTTTAAGGTTACGACAGAAAATCGCTGCTAGTTGTGATGACTTCAGTAAAAGCATTTATTTCAGTTTTTCAAACGCAGGTATTCATTCCCATGTAAAACGCATCACTCCGACAAAATACTGCATAACAGGCCGATACAAAATCCTTAAAAATAAACAACAAAATGTTACGGAAATGGCTTTATCTAAAAATGACAAAAAATCAGCCACGCCTTTACGGAGTGGGGGAGTCCATGCAAATCAGCGTGCGCTCGGAGAGGATCTTGAGGATGATGCGGGCGAAGAATCCCGGGGGACTCTGGTGGCTGGTGAGGAACTCGTTGACGAAGACCTGGTTGGCCGTGGTGTAGTCGTTGCTGCGCAGTTCCCACGGCTTGTTCTCGTCCTCCCGCTCGAAGACGATCGTCTCGTTAGCCGGTGCGTCGGCCACGCGGAAGACGATCTTGTTGCCGTCGTAGCGGATGTTCCAACCCAGCAGGTCGCGGCACACGTGCCGGAAACTCTGGATGGACTTCTTGAAGAAAGTCGTGTCCTGGTTACGTTGCTTTTCCGCTTTCTCCAACTGCTTCTTCAATTCTGAAAAATTCTGGATTTGAGTACGCACACTTGACCCGGTACTAAAAGGACTGAGCGCATCAAGCAATTATAAAAAACGGGGCGACGACAACCTTAATAACTGCACCGTCCGTATCGACTACATTAAGTAATAAAAAACCAAACAATATTCTAAAATATAAGAATAATTTAAAATATATTACAAATTTTTAGTAAAATTTATAATTGTATCTCGTAACTTGTAAATCTTTATCTAGATCACCAACTCCTGCTGCCTCTAACGGCCATTTGGAACCCTTGCACTACGATAACTTCATTGGTCATGGTAACCCTACTCCGTATTCTTCGCCGTATCGTTGGGAAAAAAGCAACGCAGCTACCCTAACATGGCGAAAAAATTTATCGTTGCTTTCATTTTATAACGAGGAATATTAATCAGAAAACAGCGGATTTTTGAAGAGAAAAGCTGTTTAATGACTCCCAAAAAGAGCTAAAAGAACAACCATAAAAACGACTTTTTGGCGGTTGTTACACTTACCTTCCAGCTGTTCGCCGGGACCGCGCAGGAACTCTTCGGCATTTACCGTTACATCCCCACTGTACCCGCCGCCCATCTTCACCTGGTTGAGTTTCTCCTGCCGCAGTTTATTCTCCTCCAACACCTTCCCCGCCTCCGCCAAGAACTCCTTCTGCGCCGCTTCCAACGGACTCTCCCCGACCACCACGACGTCCGTCCGCGTGGGATCGTATTCCCCACGCAGCATCCGCAGCGTCCACTCGCCCAGCCGCTCCTCCAGCTCCTCCTTGACCGTCCGCAGTTCCTCGTTCTCCTCCGTCAGCTTCTGCAGCTGTTCGTGCGCCCGCACCGTCTCCGCTTCGTAGCGACGCTGAAGATCCTCCAAGCTGGTTTTTAATTGGGATTCCGACGAAGATGTCCGGTTATACATCTGCTCAAAATTATCGGCCAGGGTCTGGCTGCGTGTGGCCCGCTCTTCCAGATCGCGCAGTTTCGCCATGATGGACGGATCACCGCGGCGGCTCGATGACTGGTCCATGGTTTCTTTGATCAATTTAAAAGTATCGCGCTCCTGAAAAGTCATTGATAAATTTTACATTAACAATTTTTTCTCCCTGTAATTTGTTGTTAGCGTTATCTCCAATATGAAATACTACTCAGTTGTCCGTTTTAAGATGCATTTGGTACGTATGCGTATTTGTGTTTCAAGTACGGTTATATTAATAGTAAAATTTAAAAAAAAGAAAGCAAATTAAAAGGAAAAAATTAAAGAAAAATCAGTATCCAAACAGAAATATTCACCGCTTAAAGCAGCAGTTGATTAACTGCAACGCTTCTATGGTTAAAAAATTATGACCGTAAAAACCTTAAAAACGGCAAGTACCGTACAATACATTTGTTAATTCTTTCATTTATTTTACACAAATTTCTTACTGTCGAAACGGCAGCCAGCTTGTTTGACAAATCCTGCGCCCGGCTTTCCTGCATCTGCTTCGACTTCTCCGACAATTCCAGCTGGGATTTGACCTCCACAATTCGCTCTTCGAGATCACGACAACGGTCGGCCATTTCACCGATCCTACCAGGAAAATCCGCTGATATAATTAATTTAAACGAGAAATGTAGGCCAACAGCCAATGATTCTAATCGCATGTGGCGCTTTTTTCAGTAACTACAACTTACAAGTGCATGTGGCATGAAAATGTACAGGATGTATATAATACAGTAATGTGGTATAAACTATTTTATAACTCACTTTTGGTTCCGGCTGGCGACATCATCACCCAGCTTCTTCTCACGCAATTCCATCTCACCAATCCGATCCAGTAAGTGCTGAATGCCGCTATACACATGAAAACAATCGACATTCAACTCCAGTGTGTACCAACGAGATAAAGCTTCTGCTTAAAAATTTAAACCACAACACGCCGTGATTGACAGCTGATTTTATCTGTACATCTATGCAGCTCAATGGATATGGCCGCTTGCGCAACTGCCATTGTTCCCTTCTCTCGCTCGCTCTCAGCCAGTTATCGCCAGTAGAGCCCTGCAACGGACTGGGAAATCCGATCCACTCCGAACCCACTCCGATTTTCGGACCGGATTGGACGGATTTCAATCTGGAAAATTCGGAGTCGGAGTGGTTTCGGAGTTTTTGTGCACCTGATCGGATCGGGTTCGGATGCATTCGAGACTCCGAATAATCCGTAATTAAATAAATATTATTAATTAATTTGATTGAATTTCACCGGCCTTCAAAACAAAAATTTTCGTCAGCGTCGCGCTTCGCGCGATGCTTCCATTTGCGCTTAATTAATTTGCACCGAAGTATCTGCTTTTGTTTAGTAGACTGTTGTTAATTCTCTTTCATTTCCTTTTATTAAATCTCCTGACACTTTTGAATATTTAGAGTGTTTTGCGATTGTTATGATGTCGTTATTTGTTATCGTCTTATCAAATAATTTTAGTATAACTACTACAGCACGTTAAATAGACCACATGTGTTGTGCAGCTCAGTCAGTTTCACTAGGCACCGGCTTCCCATTTTTATTTGCAGCACTTGTAATTGGATTAATCCTGGAGATTAAGATAACTAATAAACTTACTCTAAGGTCCTAAAGAATACATGAAACTACCAATTATTTTAATTCCGGACGTGTAGAAACATCCCTTCCTTTAATTTTCTCTCCCGTTTTTTTAACCCTGGCTAATATGTGGGTAATCCGTGGGGTGAACCGTATACAACAAAAAGATCTGATACAGATTCCCGACAGTGAGGATAGATAACTAACCTGGCTACCGATCACTTCGGCCGTTTTCATTTCGGCCGCGTTCATTTCGGCCAAAGTTTTTCGGCTGCCATTCACTTCGGCCGTCATTCACTTCGGCCGTCATTCAGTTCGGCCGACGATCACTTCGGCCACAGTACATTTCGGCCGATGCTCATTTTAGTTTGATTCACAAGAAAACGTTACGTGCGATATAAATTTATCGGTTCCTGAAAACCATTAAATCAAAAAAATGATAGCAAATGGCCGCGTTCATATCATTTTGCACGCACAATTTGTTGAATTCTTCATATCGTAAAACGCTTCAGAATAACCTAAGAATACCCACGAAAACAAAAGAAAATCAAAAAAACCTGAAAAAACCTAAGAAAACCTAATAATCCCAAGAAACGAAAGATACTCGTACTTTAGAAACCAACAAACCTAAGAAACCAAAGAAATCTAAAAACCAAAGAAACCTAAGAAAGTTAAGAAATCTAAGAAACCTAAGAAACCGAACAAACCTACGAAACCTACGAAACCTAAGAAACCAAAGAAACCATAAAAACCTAAAAATCCCAGAAAACCTAGAAAACGTAAGAAACCCAAGACACCTATGATGACCGAAATTTCCCGTTGCCAAAATGAGCGTTGGCCGAATTGAGTGTTGGCCGAAGTGAGCCTCGGCCGAAATGAACGTTGGCCGAAGTGAACATTTGCGGCCGAAATGTAACGCGGCCGAAGTGATCGGACGCGAACTAACCTCCCCAGATGCTTCGACACTGTAGTGCTAAAAAACTAAATTTATCTAAAACATTCTTGTATATGTAAATCTTCCAGCGTACCCTTTATTATGCCCAAGAAAATTGTACTTCTGAATTCTGAAGTCTTTTTGCTACCGAAAACATGGCATTAAAAATTTTTTAATGTAGGGATGTGTAATAAAATCAAGTAATACGTATTCTTTTCGAAAATTTTTCGGATCGGATCGGAGTGGGTTCGGATTTGCCAAAAATATTTTCGGATCGGATTGGTCGGAGTACGATTTTTAGAATTCGGAGTCGGACTGGGTTCGGATAAAATTTTTTAAGTTCGGATCGGACTGGACGCAGTTTCGTACTCCGTTGCAGGGCACTAATCGCCAGTGAACCTCAAAACCGGCTCCCAAGTGAGAGATCAACGGCTTTAAAGTCGCTATGTATTGTACGGTTGTGCACGGCTGTGGTTAACGATTAACGAAGCAGTAAAGTGCATACTACCAGTGAGTACTTAATTAAAAGCATTTCTCACTATAAAGCTGCGATAATATTCATACTCGTATCAAAGCTGAATAATTATCAAGTATCAACCGATAGAAAAAAATACAATATAAAATAATATCATGAATTAGATAATTAAAAACGAAGCAAATTACTACCGACGTACCGCGGCTTTTTGGACGGAGACTGTGCCAAGTCAGCGGATTCAAACTCTTCAATCTGCGCCTTCAGCTGCTCGTTTTCCAACTCCAAATCGTAGAAACGGCACTGCCGTGTTTCGTAGCGTTTAATGGACTCTTCCAGGGTCTGGATTTTATCCTCGTTCGCACGGGCAAGTGCGGCTCGTTCTCTGTAAGTATATTAAAATACAATAAACAATTCACAAAATACTACGGTACATAAAAACGCAATAAAAAACTGAATGAAATTACAACACAAAAATAACTACTCGAGTAGTGATGAACAAATTAAGCAACAGCGAAATTCGCAAATATTCCGCTACCAAATAAATTCGCAAATATTCCGCTAAGAAAAGTGCTATATGTATCAACCTCAACTTCTGATTTTCCTTCTCCAGCAGCGGCACTTTAATCTGCAGTTCACGGTACTGTTTCAGCTCTTCCGGCAAGTTGGCCAGCAGCGCATTAGCATTCGTCAGGTCGGCGATTTGCCCATCTTTTGCCTGCAAAAATCCCAAGGAATAAATATTCATAATGGCTGCGCATTTTGAAACATCATTTAAAAAACAACAAACTGCTGAACTGTGTAATACGAAAACGGCGCCAAATATTCCGGAATCGACAGCCACAACGCTACAATACCACAGTACACAGGAAATCTGAAGTAGCAAATCCTCAGAATAGCACCATAAATTTCAACCAAATGTAATTGAACAAAATACCTTCAAAACATTTATAAGACAAGCCGTTAAAAATTTTTCCAGCTTATTTAAAAAACTTCGAAAATTATAGTTTCTCTGCTGAGAACAACAAATCTACAATAAACTTATTTAAATAACAATCTTCGGCAAATAAATTGCTCTCAGAGTACGAAACGCTAATACACATATCGCCATTATTTAGAATTTCCTAAGGATTAAAAATACAGACACTCGGCCGTGTTTTAACATTAATCCCAACATAATACAAGGTTAACGAAGATAAGTTGAACGCAAAAATTCAAAACTGGAATTTTACCTGCAGGTGTGCCGTGAGATTCTGGTTTTCCTTGCGCACTTCTCGCAGTTCGCTCACTAACGGATTCAATTTGTCCAGTTTGGTTTTCAGGAGATGATTTTCCTCCACAGCGACATGGCGCTCTCTTGATGCACTATACGACAAAAATTAATCAATACTAATCATTCCGTAAAACGTCGTCAGAGTGATAGAACCGTACGGCTTAATAACATGACTCATGTTACATGAGGGATTAAGGCGATAGATTGGTTTTGCTTCATCCCCAGAGAAGTTACAGTAACTACATTTTCTAGAACAGAAAAAAATGCTTTTTAAAATGAGAAGTCTTTTGAGAAGCAAAGAACAGAACAGAAACCCAAATCCGTCTAAAACCAAAAGGTACCGCGGGTCCAAACGACGAGGGTGCAGCAGCACGGTTCGATTCACGTAGCTGCCATCACAGTTTCAATCGAAGCATACCCAACCGCACGCCGCGGGCGTGCGTGTCTGCAGGTAGCCTGCTGCGATGCCGGACCATTTCTTGATTTACTGGAAGTAAAGTTCGGAGAGTTTTACGCGTATTGCATTCCACTGCCGCAATGGAATTGGTCGTCCTTGGTACCTACACACTGGGTTTTCTTGGTTTTGCGATATAGTCATTCGAACTCCAACGCTCAGTGATTTTCTCCGTAAGAAGAATTAGTTCCATGTTCAAAAACTTGTATCTTCCTAGCTTTTTATTCAAGATTTTTTCTGAATAAACCCAGTGTGTGAAATAATTTTGAAATCCATTTGAAAACATCAGACCTGAAGATGTTCCATCTGGTGCTTGGCTTAGATTTTTTTAATGCTCACACAACAGAAAAATTTCTATCGCGTTTATGCTGTTAGTGTTGATTTTGAAACTATGTCTATTAAAAAGCGCGATTTATGAGCTTTCTAATGAACCCATACACTCCGAAAACAGCTCAAACCAAGGTGCACAAACAATTTTCGAAGTAGCTATAAAGATTGGTATTTTACAAACTAGTCCATCGCCTTAAAGCAAGAAATAAAAAAAAAAGAAACAGCAGACAAGAACATGAGGATAAATACGAGCTTTCAAAAAATCGAAAAAAAAATATTCTCACACAAAAAATCTTTCACAGAAAATCTGCGGCACGCGAATTAATTTTGTTAGCTCATATTTTCTTGTTATTTCATTAAAAAATTATCCAGCGTAACATTTATTTCGCATTATAAAAAAATCATAGAAAAGTCAATTCAGCAATAAATTATCTGAACATTTGGCAGCATTCGACACACTCAAGACGAGTAAGTCTACTTACGTTTTGAAGCGCTCGTTGAGCAGCAGATTCTCGCTGCGCGCTTCGCGCAGACCCCGGTCGAGCTGTTGCGTGCGCGTCATGTGCTCCATTTTGATGTGGGCAATCTGCTCTTCGTACTGCTTCCGCATGGCGATTCCCTCCGTTTCCGCCTTGTCCATCTTCTCGCGCAGCCGGTCGTTCTCCTGCAGAATCTTCTCCGCCTGCGACCACATTTCCCCGGCTTTGGCCATGGCAGCCTGCCAAGAAAAAATGAGTTTCATTTAAATACATACTTCTATGCACAGAAATCGCCATATTAAAACTGCAGTACTCGCTCACATTATTCCTACGTTTAAACATAATTTAAATTCGGAATTATTTTCCTAAACACGTATTTTCAATTTTCTGACAAATATCGCACATTTCAGTGTTGTTGCATAAATCGTAAAACAGATTTTATGTGCAGAAAAAAAGAACTAATTTATCGCCAAAATTCATTCACAACCTCTTGCCACAGTTCCAGATACTGTACTTCATTCGTGAAAAATCGTCTGTTAATCGCACAACTGGCATTTTAAAAAAAATGATCAAAAAAATGAAAACGTTTTCTTGAGTTAATGCAAGAGAAATAAATATCGGATTAAAATTTTGTTGGAAAATAATGCTAAATAAACACAACAAAAACAATTAATGATAAATGACAAAATTAATACAAAACCACGATACTGCAACTCACGTCTTCGTCTTGCTTGTGTTTGCGCAGTTTCTCCTCCGTCCGCAATCGTTCCAAACTGACTTCTTCCTTCAATAAATCGCGCTCGAATGTAACACGAGTGATTTCCTTCTCCAGCTTAATCAAATCCGTGGTTTTTCCAGGCGAGAGCGACGAATTCAGGCTCAATTCGCCACTAGAATCCAGTCGTCGTTTCTTCGTTGTAGAATCGACTACAAAGAGCGACTGCCTTGCAGAATTTTAATCCATAAACTAGGCATTAAATATCACTTTAAATTAAAATTGTCACAAAAAAATAATCAGCACTATAAAATAAAAATTAAGCGTTTCAAAACTGACGGAAATTGTACTCTGCGCAGAGAATAAAAATCAATCAAAAATCAAAACACGCAAAGAACGCTGCAAACAGATTCTGAGAGTTCCTCACCATTTTCACCTCGCAGATTCTCATCCCAACTCTTCCCCTCGCCAATGGGCGCCCCATCCAGCCTGCGAAACGTGGCCAACACTCGTTCGGGGGATTTAACTGCGGACTTCTTGCGCAGCGTCTCGCGCAGGCTCCCCGCGCCTGCCTCACTGGCGGGGGTCTCCTGCGCCGTTTTCCGCTGCTCGCCCTTCCCATTCTCCACACTCTCCGCGTTGAACGTCAGACGGCCGCGGGGCTGGTTGAAATTGGGATTAACAGTCGGGGGACGCACCCCGCGCCGTTTCTCCCCCGGGCGCAGCGGGGTGCTGGCGCTGATTAACGAGGGACGAGCGGCCCCGGGGTGCTGACTGCCAGGGGCAGCAGCGGAGGGAAAAGAATACTCGCGGGTGGGCCGCGGCGGAGGATGGGAGGACAAGGGAGGATAGGATGCGGTGATCAAGCTGGAAGGGGGACGGCGATGAGATAGGGAATTTTCGGAGGAAGACATCGCAAAAATTATTCAGCAGAATGAATGAAAATTCGTACTACAGTACACTCCACACTACACTGATTACGGATAAATAATAATCAGCCACACTCTGTCTGCACTTGCAGCTTTTGGTTAGCGAATGATCGATGACGATAGAACCGCTGCTGCCGAACAAGGCGGTTGCAGTTGCGCTGTTGATCAGAGTCGCCGGCCTCAAGGACCAAGACAACGCTCCTTCTTTTATGATTTGTACATTATTACGAGCATAACATAATCCTGACGGAAACCGCCGTAGGTCTGGTAGTCAAAGAACCAAAGATTCCAGATTGCCACTGCGACGCGAAGAGTTGAAGTCGGGTTTGTAGCTGATGCAGCGTGCTTCACTTCGGGCCAGTGAAGATGCACGGGATACATGATATAATTATATTATGCAGTAATAATCCGAATATTCTCCGATGGGTATGGCGCAAATTAAGCGCGATCGGTCGCGATAAAGATCAATCAGAAATCAAATTATTTTTTTATTTATTTTACCTATCAGCCACTTGCAGTGTATACAAGCAGACAGAACGCTAAGCCGGCATTCAGTACACGCAGTTGCAACAGGTATAAACACGACAACTGCCAGTGAACCCACGTGCGTGCATTCTCACTTTCCGTTTCCCGTCTGCTTTCCGAGAATGCGATTTTCATACCGGCGTGAGCTGGGTAGACACGGTTGCTGTACGTGTCTGCGCTGGACCGTCGCTCGTACGAGAAAAGCGTTCAGCAAGATCCCAGTGAACACGATTGCAGCTTCTCCATTAATGGCGGCTGGCGAGTGCACGATACTGTGTTGCTGGACATACATGCAACTGTAACAACTAGAGCAAATTAACAATTAATTACAACAGAATCTACAAAGCAACATCGTGCACTCGCCAAATACTGGATGTTCGTACAATGCAGCCGACGATAGTGTTGACTGAGATCTAACGCTTGCCTCTTGTACTTGGCGGCGTGAGGAGATGCTGCTGTCTACCTGGCTCACACCGGTAGCGTTCGGAGCGAATTCTCGGAAAAGTAGGCCGGAAGACGAAAGTGAAGATGCTCGTACGTGCAGGCAATCGTGCAGATGCCGGCTGCAAGCTGCGCGCACGTACATACGTACTACTACATGCCGGCTGGTACCGCTACAGTAGCTGAATGCTTTGGCTATTGCGACATCAATCTGCTAATAACGAAAACCTTTACAATTAGTCACGATACAAATAGATTTAGAATTACGCGATTCCATTCCTTAAATTAATTACACCAGCAAGGTCTAGCAACGAACAGAAGGTTCCCAAAGACGCCAAGCCAGATTGAGTAAGTTTGTTGTTTAGCTAACGTTACCTATCTTGTCTACGATTAGTGGAGTCCGTAAATTAGTCCGTAAATTGTTCAAAAATACTCGTACTGTAGACAGTTTACTTTTTTGAAAATCAACGGACTCAAATAAGTGCACTGTATTTACATAAGTTGAAGAGCCACCAGAATGCTCTAATGCGCGCAAAATATACGACGGCTTTATTGAACTTGAAAGGATCCGCCGCTATTGTTTACGGCTTAACTTACAACTTCTGTACTTGCGAAATTGCAAAATAACAAACAGGGTAATACAAAAAATAAACAGGAGCGATAAACGTTAATTAAGGTACATTAATTTTATGTGTAATATTTATATTGGTATTCAGTTAATTTGTATTCAAATGGAGTATTATGGAATTACAGTGAATAAATATTTTTGAATTAATAAAAAACTAAATTAGTTTTAAATAAACTAAATTAGTTGTTGACGTTAATTTTAAAGTTAAGTAAACTCGAAAAAATATTTGGTGCATAATTCAACCGAAGAAGCGTTGCGCAGTAAAAAGAGTGTCAAAATTAAATTAAACCAAAAACCGTCTGGGTCAACGCATTGTCGCGCCAAATCCAGGGTCCAACCCGGAAACGGGTAAATTCCGTAGTTTCTTCAGCAGGGGAAAGGTCACGTTCTGGAGAAATTTGGGCAGGGGTTTGGGGTCTATGTGGCCCGTGACCCCTGTAAAAAAAACAAAGCACGCAAATCCGCGGTGAAATCCACTGCTCCGTCCGGGGGGAGGTCGCCGTCCCAGGAAGTTCGGGCAGTGTTATGGTGGGGGAATTCTTCGGCGTGATGCTGGTGGTCGATCCGTGCCGTTGGGATCGGAGTTGGTGCTGCTGTTGGCGGTGTATCCGTTCTGGTTTCCCGCTGGTCCGGGTCGCGTTCGCCGTCGGCATCGCAGGAGGCAATTCTCGCTCCACGGCATCTCCGTCCAGTTTGGGAGGCATCGGTCGCGGGGAGGCGTCCATCTCCGTCAGTTGGGAGAGGATCCGTCGCGGGGAGGCGTCCATCTCCGTCAGTTGGGAGAGGATCCATCACGTTCCGCGTGGGGGGGGGGTGGGAATGTAGCTCCACACCCCGGGGTTAAATGGGGTTCATAACTCAGAGGTGCTGCGGGCGCGACGAGCGCGCGCAGCTGGAAACGATAGCCAGATCTGCTACCATATAACGCGGGGCCGTATGGGCGCCACGCGTATCCTCGACAGCGAACAGCGGTGAACCCGGATGAGGCTTTATTGCCGAATCTAATGCGCACCGTGGCGCAGCAACACCAGACTAATGAGGAAGGATCCTGCAGCCAGTGCAACTGTGCTGCAGGTCCGTCAAAACAGCGCAGCAATGTGCGGGGTGGAAATCCCCAGAAACAGCGAATAGCTACTCAGGAGGGCGGGGCGTCCCGCCCTTACACTATCTATATAAAAAATACGAAAAAGCAAAAACCTATCTATATAAAAAATACGAAAAAAAGTTTCAAAAACAAATGTGTATTCGTTTTCGGAGTTTCGGCACCAGGTTAGGATAGCATCATTAATTGTACAATTTATAAACTTAATGGTCAATTCAGATAGGAAAATAATGAGCGCGTTACTCGAGTCGCCGCAGTATGATCCTTCACTCCTCAGTGACCACAGTTCACATATGCGCTGTTATAACAGTAACCATCAAAATGGCATCGTAGTGTACGGGCTCCACGCTAGCTACAGCGTTATGTTTTGTTTCAAGTTGACCGGCATAACTTTTCTCAGTCCTTATTTCTAGTAATTTTAATTCAGTTATAAGTTATAACTAATTAGTATTTAGAAGGTATCGAAATTAGTAAAGAAACCGTCGTATTTAATTGCTGAATATTAAATGTTTTTGAGCTTTAATATGTATACTGAATTAAATAAGCCACTTTAGGGAATAAAATAATTTACAAAAGTAAACTGTAGTCTACATTTGAAAGTTAAATTTAAAAAAAAAAACTGAATTATAAATTATTTTTTCAGCTTTAAAATAAATTAATTTGTTATTATGGAATGGTAATTATGATAGAACTGTTATATTTTACTTTATTTCACTTACTTTCTTTCAAATTGAGTCATTTTACTTGAATGCTGTATCTATAAAATTTAATATTTTACTGAAAATCTTAATTTACTTAAATTTATTACCATACTTTACCTAAAACATATATGTACCTTACTTTAGAAGGCGAATTTACTTGAGAAGTTACGTGAGAAGAAACAATACAGTGGAAGTACAAAACAGAATTTTTACGGAACGGAATATCAGAAGAACAAAGCGGAATATAATTAATATAAACGGAACATGAAACGGAAGATATCTATATATATTTTGTTAGCAATTTAATGTATTGTATTGCACATTCGGTCTTTCTGCACCAGTGCGAACCTTCTACTGTAGATAATAAACTAGATAGCTAAGTCAGCAGGCTATAGGTAGATAACTTGAACATACCGGTAGATTTCATGCGGGATACTCGTACATAATATGATGCTAGGTTACATCGTGCAGGGAACGGAAGAATGTTATATAGGGGGAAATCGATAGCATATTATACATTTCCCCTGTACTGCTCCAGTCATCCGTATGGACTGCCACGTTATGGCTGAACAGGGGTTTTCAAAGCGCTAGATTTATACCTGCACACTGATGCAGGTACAAGTACCGTGTAAACACTGTAAGGTATGCTGTCACTGCAGCACTTGTTGATTTGAATATAGACATTATAATATCTATATGAGATTTTGAATTTTTTTATGGATATCTGATCTCAAAAGTTTTGTTTATTTAATAGGTATCTATCTGTGTATACGTGCATTTTATTGTGTAATTACGTAATTTAGTTTTCTTCTCATTATAACCGTTTGTACAGATGCAAACCACCGTTTGGGTTTACTTTTTTCTTCGAAAAAATGCCTCCTAAAATACAGAAATACGTTGTACAGCGAGTTTTTATTCTGATCAAACAAGGGAAATCTTATCGAATTACTGGGGATGAATTTGGCTATACACGATCCTGGGTGCGGTATGTTGTCGCTAATTATTATCCTGATGGCGCCAGAAAACAGGTTTGTTATCCCAAAAAGCCACGAAAGCGGAGCACCACCGTGGCCCAAGACAGAAAGATCATCAGTCTCGTATCCAATAATCCTACAATTACCCACTCAGATATTCGTGAGATTCTGCACAAAGATCCTGCAACGGCGCACGTATCCAAGAGTACCATCGCTCGACGCATTCAAGCAGCTGGATTCCATAAAACACCATGTGTTCTAGACGAGCTCACTCCCAAAAACAAAGACACCAGGATCAACTGGTGCCACAGCGCCCGTGTTGCAGTAGGCAGAAACCCGCACCACTTTTGGTTTTGGTTGTTTTCCGATGAGTCGACGTGTTAAAATTAGCAGTAGATAAAGATTCGCACGGTACATGTAGTTACCTGCATCAGTGTGCAGGTATAAATGTAGCGCTTTGAAAACCCCTGTTTAGCCATGACGTGTAAGTCCATACGGATGACTGGAGCAGTACAGGGGAAATGTATAATATGCTATCGATTTCCCCTATAGAAATACTTCTGCATTAGGTACATACTCGTAATTGTAGCTGTCATAATAATATTATGCTTTATAAAGACTACGCAAATGGCAGATAAAGGTCGCATAAAACGCCATTCTTCATTGTACGTATGTCCAGCGCGTATCGTGTATCAGCGGACATTTACTATGAACATGCAAGGCAGTTTAACCAGTTTTATGCGATGCTTCCGTCATGCAGTACCCGTCAAAAGCGAGTGCGCTTTCCTAGTACCCGTAGTAAATTAAGCTTCGAACTTCAAAGCTTCAATTCAATGACTCGAGAAGCGGCAAAGAAATGATGTTACAGGACTCGCTCGGTTTGCTAGCGCAGGCTGTCGCGCATTGTGCTACCGTGATCTTACCGTTATCAACGACTTTATTTGCCGGATATGGCTTTCTCTGCACCCTCGTCTAAATATATTCCGGAAACGCATAACCAGTTAAAGGGACCGGAGTTTTTTTTGCAAATTGTTGCAGTTGATAATCAGCCGAATCCCGGCGGATGTAAGTTTCGCTACCAGGCTGAAAATGAGCATGAGGAAGTGTGCGGCTAGAAAATTGAAAAGCTAACTGCGTTTGTTTTGCTCTTGCAGTTATGCCA